GTTCTAATAGCTTTTATACAATTAGAGTGAAAATTATCTGATTTATTAATTACCAGCCGTCCAAAAACATTTTAATAAAAGACAAATTTCTTTTACACAAATTTCAGCATAACAACAACACAAAATAACTTTAATAAATTTTTAATATAGGTAGAAACAACTCTAATTATTGGAAGTACATTTGTTTAAACCCCTGGGTATTTTATATGAATAAACGTATTCCGAGGTCGCCAAAGTATGTTATACTCTATAGTCCTTAGTGACTTCGACAATTTACGGGCTTTATTTACCTGTTCCTGTATCAAACAGAATTTCCCCAGCGATTGTGCTAGTTTGACAAATTGGCGGCCATATTTGATCTGAGGTAACAATAACGTTTGAGAGGGTCTGTGTAATGTGAGTTTGATACAAAGGTATTTATTACTTTAGTTTATTAGATTGATTTCTGATACAGTTTCAAATAACCATTAACTTTATACATATTATATAAACAAAGATTTAGATAATACGTAGCTCACAAATAACGAAGTAAAACCAGACGTATTCATTCCAGAACTATGAAATCATAATTTTGAAATACTTCGTTGAGTTTTCAGTCACTATACAAATTTCAATGGTTAAATCATTTCTAAACCGTAATAAAATAACCAAAATGAGATTTAAAGTATAAAGGTAACATAAAATAGAACAACTTTTGAAAAGAGTCATAAACGATTTTATGTTATGAATGGAAAGGAACCTTTCGATGAAAACTTTTTAAGAAGTCATTACATTTTATGTATTCAGGAAAAATCACATTGTCATTATATAGGAATTGTGTTATAACTTTAGTGTGCTGTTCCAAAGGTTATTTGTTTTATTCACATAAACGATTTAGCTCTAAGACTTTCGCAAGTGTTCATTTAAAGGAAACTTATATAATTCCGATTACTACTCTTACAAAAACGATTGAGTCATAAGTTAATAACTTATCATAAGCTTTAAATTTAATTATACTGTTCCTATTTCTTTTAACAATTGTTGAATGAAATAGGAACAGTATAGGAATAGTAATGTTGTTATTAATGTGAATAATATAACATGTCTTTTAGATGAAATGTTTGTATGAAATTCGTCAATTTGACAGGAAAAAGTCCTCCCTTAACACATTTTTTATGTAAATATTATCTCCAACTTTCAATAGACTTCGTACCTATCGATATATCAACTCCCCTTCCCGAGAAAACCGTGTAAAAGGATATTGGTGTCATGTTTTGAAATATATACTAACAATGCTTAAAGAATATCTTTAGAATTTCTTTCAATATATATGGTTCTCTCGTATTAGTATCGACAGGTGGTAAGTATTTTATTACTCGCTCACGTCCAGTGAAGTTTATTGAAACATAAAAACACTTAGTAGAAGTTACTGAACAGTTTAGGAATGTATATTTATTAGATCAACTGTGGTATTTACAATGCAACTTGACAGCTGTCATTGTCTTAATATTTAATTACCGTAACTGGGTTAATGGACGAGTTTTGGCAATGATCCAATCCAATTAGTGTCACCCTTAAAAAAATACTTTCTTCTATTTTAAGATTATCTTTTTTCGGGAGGTATAAACCCGTAGCCTAAACCCATAATATTCAATTCAGTTGGTTTGTTAAATTAAGTTAATAAAGTTAAGTTCTTTGGGGACTATAACTCAAATAGATGCTAATGGTTTGGGTCCAATTGGCTAAAAAAAAAATTCCTTATATTGTATTAGTAAGATAAATGGACAGCAGTTTTTTTCCTTGAAAGCGGTCTCTTGTAAGCAGATCAGTCCCTAAATTGAGTCATATTTTTTCAGATGTATAGATTAAATAAATTTTTCATAATGCAAAGAATAAATATGTGTGAATTGTTGCGATCTGCTTCATCAAAAATGTTTTTTTACACGAAATTGTTAACATTTCAAACAGTTTCACCGCTTGCTCTTCACACTAGCCATGACGTCACTATGAATTTATCCAATTAGAAGTCCCGTGGACTAACGAATAGATTTCTATAGTTTACAATTACAATACAAATCTGCTGTGCTTGTCTTTTTAGATCTTAGGAAGCTATTGAATTAGGTCCGGATTTTGTAGGTTATTTGGTATAAACCTTTTTGATTGGAGTAGAGAGAGAACGATGATCGTAAAGAAGTAAGTTTTCGTCACAAGTAACGTTAGAATAAAATTGTCCATTATCATGTGATAGCCACAATTATTTGTTGGTTCTCTTAACTCATTAATGTGATAATGTAACAACATTTTGCTTTTTCAAGTTATAAAAGTTAATATCATTTGTTTTTTCTGGGCATAAAAAAAGTTTTGAAAGAAACGTAAACATCAGAACCACATTACCTAACTTCTTTCTGCCAAGGTATCTCATATTCGTAGAAAATAAATATATTAATATTTTTATGTGGTACTAAAAGCGGAGCTATTTTAAAACAAAAATATTTTTTATTGAAATAAATAGAGGCGTAGAATTTTAACCACTTTAATTATTTAGTTAGACGAGGTTTCAATGAAATCTAATTTTCAAACTTTCAAATCTGAGGAGACAAACAGTTTTAATTTAAAATATCAAATCCATTTAAATAAGAATAATCTTAACAGTTGTACTAGATGAAAATAATTGGAAGAAAAAATTGAATTGCTTTAAACGACATTGCAATTGAAAATTTTAATTTATTTAAATAACTTTATTTCACAGAAATGGTTAAATTTCTTTATAATTTTGCTTGAATATTTTGACCAAAACTCGTAAACTTTATTGAGATTTAGATTTAATAGTTTTGTTCTTGACAAATATAGTTAAGGGGAAGTACGCCTGATTATAATTCACATACATATTAATGACGTCCTTAAAATATCGATTGTCGAGTTATATAATTATTTGTTGAAACAATAATATTTGTTAAACAAACCATACTCCCCTTAACTTGAAAGAGAGACAATCTTATTATATAATATCAAAAGATATTCATCAATATTGTAACATAATATTTTACACATTGTTGTAATTGTGTTATAAAGCAGTTGCTATTATTATTCAACGCCGCGCTAGTCTTAAACCGCACGACCTTTATTCGACACGTAAAAGACAATGCGTTATGTTATTGAAGATATATCCAAGCTTATTAATATTTTATACAATATACTACATTATAAATATTAGATTTTTCTTCTCTGTGAATAATAGCATGAGTGTAATAATTGTACAGATACATATAAATTAAATCCTTAATGATAAAGGAGTGAAAGGGTCGTGAAAATAAAATATTATACATAATTAACTTCAACTTTCTCCAAGGGTATTGTTAATGGACCGTGTTCAAATATGTGACAGGGTAGCTTAGCTGTATTTTTGTCAGAAAATGATTTAAATTTTGCATTATATTAAGGCTATTAAAAGAACTATGATAGTAATACTTATATTTTATAAAGTTTAATTTTATATCTGTTTGAGACTGTAGCGTTTGTTTTTCCTTTATATAAACATGTGAACATTATTTATGTATGTAGTGAAAGACTAAATACACACAGGGTATTTGCTTAGCCAACTACATTAAGACGGTTCTCACTGGACCAAGTACTCGGTTTAATTAAGTACTTCAATATATCTTCCTACTGAGTAAAGAACTACGAAATACTAAATTCGTAACAAAAATTTCTATTTGCTAACATATTGTACTCGTAAGTACATTCAATCGTAAAGGTTGCATAATATTTGAAGCCCACACCCAAATATTGAATTACGTAGTCACTTAGGGTTCATAGTGTGATTGAATTACTTAAAGGAATATTTTGTTTAAGATATATTTGAAGAATGTTATGTTTTTTATTAGTTATATAGACTGATTTTTTTTGGCTGTAGTTTTTTCAATTATGTATGTAGTTGTTAGTAATTAAAATTATGTGTAAATAATTTTCTTATACTATATTTTATAGACACTCTCCAATACAACTTTTATAAAACATTACTTTAAAACGTTTTATATTATTATTTTTATACATATATCCTATGAAAATAATTTAATTACGTAAATTACAACTTACAAGTAAAAGTATAAATTTATATTCTAGTAATGACATATGTAGTAAAATAAATTTTTAGAGAACATTTTTTCGTTGTTATGTAAAATTAAAATCATTCAACTTACTTCTGGCAACCTTTATAACAATTTTTATATTTTCCTTCTCGTTTTGAACCTTTTAAGAACCCCACGTCGTCTTTATTGTACTTATTTAAAAATTCCGTATCTTTACAGTCGTCAAGCCAATTTTCATATTTGAGTTAACATAATGAATTCTAAATTAATATTTATGTGAAAAATTAAATATTTTATGTATATTTATGTCGCTTATAATTTACAAATGGAAACATTAACAATAATTGATTTTTCATTTTCGTTTTCCCTTTATCTTAGTTTATTATACACTTGTATGTATATACTTTTGTATTTGTACCATAAATTACAATAAATGTTCAACAAACGTGATCTAAATTATAAATTTAAAATATTTACAAAATTATAAGTTAATACATGAACAAGTCATTGTAGTGAAAAACTATTAAGCGTTATTACATCCTGAATATACGCCAGAGTGTGCTAATAGTTTTACGTGACTTAGCTTGGTATATCGCAAAATGTTTAATTAACAGCACAGCATATGCAGCGCATTGTTTAAAATTCAAGCACATTTTGTAGTTGGAACAGTTTAGAACACACAAAGGAAGCGTGTATGCAAAATACATGGCTTATAGAATGATAATACAATATTAAATTTGAATTCGTTATTAAATTTAATGAATTTTTACTGACGTCTTAATTATCGCTCATCCTTGACTCTCTTGTACTATAATAACATTATTTTTGATAAAATCATTAAGAAATTTTTTTATTGTTCGGCAAAAAGCAATAAATTTGGTATACGTAAATAGGTAAGTCGACAATTAAATAATATATTCATTTTCAGCAGATATGTCCCCATACCGAGTGGCAGCATGCGCTGTGCTGCTAGCTGTATGCTGCACACCATCAGCAGTTCTGTCTTTAGACTTGAACAAGCTATACGGACATCATACTAAGCGATCTGGTAAGTCCTTCTGTCATGAGTAACTTGTCCATGTGCTCTGTTCTTTTCTATCGAAAGGAGTAAAATATAATTATAAATTATCAGTCTTACTTATAATAAGAATAGAAAAATAAAGTTGAAAATCGAAAAATAATATAAAATTTATCAGCAGTTAACTCGGAGGAAATATTTTTATAGCTGTCGTAATAAAGTATAAAACTTTGATTCGTTTTTAATATATATTTTATGAATGAAATATGTTTATAAATATCGGTTTAACGGTGAAATGCTGAATATTTTTTATGATTCTGATCGTAATAAATGCAGCGTAAACAAATTTTATTGAAATTTAATGATGCTTAAACAGATTGACATACTTTTGAAATCTGCAGTTGCTTTTATTATTAAATGAAACGGTTTAACAAGAGTCTGTTCTGTGGAATAGTTTGTGTTCTGTTGAACGAAAAGCTTCAAAAAAACATTCTCTCTTTAGCAAGTTTCAGAGTGACTTACTTTTTGAAATCCTCTTCATTACGACTTTATTGTATTCATTCTTTACACAATAATTGAACACCATATAATTATAACAGCCCCATCAATAATTAATTTGTTTGGTTCTTTGTTTTAATAATATTTACAACGATTACAACGATTTACAACGATTCCGTTATCACAAATTAAAATACTTACCTAAAAATTGTTACCGATCTTACTCCTGATATCTGAATAAAAAATAATTATCTTAATACACAAAGCCAACAAAATATAAACAAATTCTTAACTTGCGAGCTCTATATACGAAAAGGAAATGATTGGACGAACTAGTTCAAGTTATTTTTTAAAGCAATCAGTTGTACATGGTTTATTTGTTATAGAATATTGTCATCCATACGAGCCGTTTAAGTGCCCCGTAGATGGGAACTGTATATCCATCCAATATCTTTGCGATGGCGCTCCGGACTGCATTGATGGCTATGATGAAGATTCAAAACTTTGTACTGCAGGTATTGTAACGTGAACTGGTTAATAGTAACTATTCAAATGAAACTAATATTTTCGGTTTTACTACGCGATTTTTTATTTTTGACTATAAACTATATTCTCCCGACGGGCAGACGAGATCACGGTTGCTGTAAAGTAGCTGAAACGTCTGGAGTATGTAGTTTAAATTAATAAAATCGCGTAGTAAATCCGAAAATATTAGTTTCATTAAAATCTTAGATCTCAATAACTATTCAGTTGTCTGACAACGTTTTTTTAAGTAAAGAGATTAACATTATAATTAGTGAGAGTATTTTTTCAATGTGAAAATATTGTTGTTACTCTTGAAAGTTATAATTTTCTTTTAATAATTTAAGGGACTTTAAAATTAGTTAAAGAGACTTTTTTTGTTTGAAATAACTTCTTCTGTTGTTTAAATAAAAATCTTCTTTAAAGCCAAACGACCGCCAGTAGAAGAGACAGCGTCGTTTCTTCAATCGCTTCTAGCATCCCACGGCCCTAATTATCTGGAGAAATTATTCGGCAGCAAAGCTAGAGACGCCCTTGAACCACTTGGAGGTGTCGAGAAAGTTGCTATTGCTCTATCAGGTAAGAATATGATAATAACATTATGATTTGATCTATTTCAATGTAGAAAATTATTTTTAGTTTCCAAATATACATTTATACAACTTTATATCATACTGTACTATATTTTTATAGATTAGTATATTTGGTTGAAGGTAGATTACCTAAAAGACAGATGTCTTGTTATATAAGTGAAACTTACGTAAGAGTTAATTGCAATGTTGTATTGTAGACAAAAAGAAAGTAAATAAAACTGCTTTAACAGAAAAATATAGTATTATAACTTCAAATTAGTCAGAGATATCGTTAGGTAATTAAACAATACATTTTAACAGAATCACAAACCATCGAAGATTTCGGAGCAGCGCTTCACTTGATGAGATCTGACTTGGAACACCTTCGCTCTGTATTCATGGCTGTTGAGAACGGTGATCTCGGTATGTTGAAGTCTCTGGGCATCAAGGACAGCGAGCTCGGTGATGTCAAATTCTTCCTCGAGAAGCTGGTCAACACCGGTTTTCTCGACTGAATAGCGCCGGAGTCAGCCTCTGACTACTACCACGTCGTCCAATTTGGTCCCATCAGCTCCTCATTCTACAGTTACCTTCCCTATGACTCCCATAAGTATAAGAGAAATTAGTATTTCTCTCTATATACCCGAGAGAATGATGTATGTTTGTAAGCATAGCTGTTCGTCGTCAAAATCGTTCTGCAACCGGCCACGCAGATCGATTTGATGCGAGCATTTTATATTAGTTTTCTTTTTATTTACGAAGACTTTAATGATATTTCATATTCGTCGTTCCTTGTCTCTTAAACCATAGGATAGTTGGTGATATTAATTTCTCTGATAGCAGTAGGTTAAGAATGTAAATTTATTTTTTTATATTTTATGTTTTTTTTTGATGCAGTTTCTAAAACTGTATTTGAAAGTTATGATCAGGGAAAATTCTCGCGTCTATATCATGAATGCGTATGGTAAAATAAGAAGAAGTAAGACTGTAACGTCATTTTCCATCAATATCAAGCGTACGTTTTATTTGCCTCTGAAGACATTTAAGAAAAACTTTTGGCAAGCTAGGATAGATCTAGAATGTCGCATATCGTGACCCTGCTCATAACTTTTTCAATTAGAATGCGAATGAGTGTATAAATGTCGCCCTAAATCCTAAAACTTTCTCCAAAAAAGACGATGTCAGAGGCGACTCCATTGAAACGTCAATGTCCACGAGATAAAGCTAACGAAAAAAAAAATCTCTTAATTCTTAGATTGAAAGATAAAACAAAGTAAAGAATGCATGCGCTTTGTATTTGGCTTTTGGTAATATCCAAAGTAGGACCATAAATACATATCATTGTAATTTAGATGATTACTAAATCGTAGATAAAAAAACATTAGTTGATATAGGACAATTATTTTAATATGATCGGTATTGTAGTGTTTATGAAACATTTTAGATTTCTTTAATACGTAGTGAAACTCGATACATATCAGCGTCGGAGGTGCTCCGAAAACACATACATATCAAAATTATGTGATTTAATAAATGTTAGTGTGTTATATTTAATAATATATACATTAAATATATCTAGTAGTGCATATCTCTCTATCTTTATGGCTATTGTTAAGATATTTGGTCCGTCAGAGAGTTTGTATTTGTTGAAACTTTTGTCAAATGCGGGCTATGAAACAACGAAATTGGTGTAACATCTTAAATGATTGGAAAGATGTTATATATAAGCAGTGTTAATGCAGCATGCAAAATGTTACAGTGATAGTATGTCAAAGATAACGTTTGTTAAGCCTGTGTTTGTCAAGAGTAAGCAAACCGTGGGGATTTGCTTGAGAACATCTTAGCTCTGCATCAAAGCAGCCTTGAAACTAAATGTCTATAAATGAAGGGTAAAGTATATTTAACTTTCGTCAAATCTCTATTGTCTATATACCTAGCTATAAGAAAGTTATCAATATGAACCTTTTAAATCTATTACTTACGTTTTGATCTAAGTATATGGCTTTTCCTTGAAACAAATATAAATAAATGAATCATCTTGAAATCGACTTTCATTAAACACCCAACATTATCCTATACTATTAACTATTATTATATTATTATCAATTTAAGTACCTTCTTATTAATTAGTTTTATTAAAATAAAAAGATCTGTAGTCTTGTATCGAGTCTTTCTATTACTCGTGAAGCGTCGGAACAGTCTGACCTTTGAAAATTCGGTAGCGTGAGTCACTTTATAATCACATTGTTAGATTCTGAGAAGTATCAATCATCGTTGTGTATTCATATCACACTAAAAACCTATTACTTTAGATATTTGTAAGAATTATTAAATTGTTCGTTTGTAATAACTTAATTAGTATTTTTTTAGTTATTTATTCATCCGAACCTAAAAATATGTTAAGTGAGTCATTGTCGAAAGAAACATACATATGTAAATGTAATACATATAAAGCTAAACTCTAATACTTAATGGTTTCGTCGAAAAAAGGCTCGGCTATACTCTATATAATTAGTTGCCCTCGCACACAGAATGAAAAAGTCAACACAAAACAAGGTTGAAGTTGTTTATATAAACGGCCTCAGGGTTCCAGTAATAATACTTGAAGTTTCCGACTCTGTTTGTTCTATATGAAGATTAACAATACATATTAACCTTAATAACACGACTAACATGTAGCTACGAGTATGATGGTTAGTTGGGAGTCACTGTTATAAATAATGATGCTATTGTACTGGTTTTTCCATTATTGTAATGATGTGTTATGACGAGGTAGATATTATGATTTATGGAACTAATATTTTATATACGTATCATTTATAAGGATATATGGATGTTTGTACAGTAAGTCAGTTGTGGTTTATTGGTTAAAAGGCCCGCCCCTCATGCAAGATGGCGCAGGTTTGGTCCTGGCAAGTACCAATGTGATTTTTCCGAGTCATATGTACTTTCTAAGAGTATTTAGACATCACTGATTAATGCATTCCCAAAAAGATTGCTGATGTCAGGCAGGCGGGCGATCGTAAAAACAATTAGCCAATATTATTCACAATATGTAAGGCAGACCCTGGCTAAAGTGGGGAAATTGCCAGGTAGAAGAAGAAGAAGAAGATGGATGTGTGTATAGCGTAAGTTAGAAAAGTTAGTATTTTAAATGGTGATTTGACAAACGACAACTTATATCTCTTTATTCGATATAAATATGTTTCTTCTATTTATTATTATAATGGAATAAAAGTTCAGATGTCGGAATAATTTTAATTATAGTTATACGGGTTGTTTAAGGCGAGGCTTCACTTATAGCATAATGGGGTTTTCTTTTTAATATTTCAAATTAGAAAATGCTTGTCAGAACTAGTGAGTGTGAGTTTGTTATTAATTATATGATTCTAAAGTACGTTTTCTATGAATATATTTTTAATTTATTGAATGGATCAATAGATTTATTCATTTATTCTTCATGTTAGGAGTGATTATCTGTCGATTGAAGTGCTTATTGTAGTCAATTAAAGATAGAAAGAGTTTTGGTTAGCCTTTGATGAAGCTATGTAACAAAGTCAAGATATATTTTAAATGTTTGTTTAATGTAATTGTTTTCAAACATTTGTTTTCTAAAAATAAGTAAAGGAAAACTTTTGGCTTATGAAACTGACTTTTTTTTTATGTGAAAGGTAGCAAACGAGCAGACGGCCCACTTGATGGAAGGTGGTTACCGCCGCCCATGGACATCCGCAACATCGCAACATCTTTATCGCGAATGCATTGCCAACCTTGTTTTTTAGGGATAGGGAGGGATGGGAATAAGGAAATGGTAGGAAAGGTTAGGAATAGGGAAAGGGCAACCGGCTCTCTCACTCATCGGACGAAACGCAGCCATTAAAGGCTACTTCACGCCGATCTTCTGTGAGAGGGTGGTACTTCCCCGGTCGAGCCAGCCAATGTTCGAGCTGCAGTAACTTGACTACAGCTAGGCTCTACCACCTAAATAATTGAATAACTGATTCGGAAAAGGTTATAAAAACAAAATGATCGTTTAATTGATTAAATGATTCAAGTATTCATTTAAATAAAACCAAGATTTTCACACATACTACAAGTTTTTTATTATTTTAAAACTACATACTCCTAAAGTCTCGATTGCTCTGCTCAACAGTGATGTATGTTATGTATCTTCAAATACTTATCTTTTAATAGACCATGATTACTCACTTTATCTCACACGATTACTTAACTACGCTCCATTATATATATCTCTCTATATATACATATATAGATGATGTAGACAACATATACATCTATGTATGATGTAAAACTTTTCATATATGCTTATATAATTAACTAGACTTTTATTCCAACTAATTAATTCAAGTTAATAAAAACACGCCAACTTGCTTTATGTAGTTTAAAAAATAAATCACGATGTTTTTAATGAGCTAACTTTAAACAGTTTTTTCTATTTTGTTCTCATTCAAGTAATAGGCATTGTAGGTGGATGAGGTATATAGCCAGAATTTTGTAACAAAATAAGAAAATAATATTTATTTATACAATTTAAATATATTATTATAATTATATATTATTTGATAGTCAGTTTCACCGCTGTATGTACAACCATAATTTTACCTTACTTATTTGTTAAACTAAAAATACATACTAATTTTAGTTACGTGCCACATAAAATATATTACCAAATTCACAATAAATATATATATATTTCAATCCATTACGTATATAACGATTCTAAACCATTTATGCCAGCAAATATTTAAGTTAAATCAAAGTTTTGTGAAGTTAGTTATCTTAAAGAGTTTAGCTCCGAAACTCACAAACATTTACAAGTTTGGAGCTAGCTCTCTAAATTTATAACATCATTAGTCTAGACTTAGATCGTTTCATTTAAATTGGACTGTAAATAACTTTGAATTCAAAATTATATAATAAATACAATGATAAAATTTTAGGGGAAGGTTTTATTTTTCAATATAAGTGTATATATACATGTAACTTACTGTATTTGGACAACCAGAACTCTTGAGGTCTTTATAAAATATTTTTATCCATCGTACCCAGGAGTTTCCGGAAGGTTCTATAGATTAACGCAAAAGATTACTTCGTGAAAGCATTAAAATCCATTTCAAGTCTTGTTCAGAATCTTACATTGAATCCGATAAAACTTTTACACGGAATTTTATCTACAGCGCTAGGAATTTTCAGAATTTAAAATGTAGTTGTTCTTGAGGAGTTCATTAATTTTTTCAATTAACTGAGATATTATTAAATTAATCAATTTAGGATCAATAAAGCTGTGTATAAACATTTAGACATCTCATTAGACTCTTAATATATTGGTAGTTTTATATAGTGACCAGTGAACCCGGCTGCGTTATAATCTTATAATTTAATCTGAATATCTTGTTTTTAGTTCCAGTTACAAATGAGCCTTAACTTATAGAACGACCTAAGAACTATTGAGTATATACCTAGATATTTTCATGTCAAACCTCTGTTCATTAGG